TCAAAAAATTATTTCTTTGTTTACTTACTTTTGGCCCACCCTGTATAGTACATCAATCAATAAAGAATTTCATACCCTGGTAAACGATAGAAGATTTGAGAATATGCTGATGAAGTGGATATGTATATAGTACTAATAATATTATTAATATTTTAGATTGAAATTTTCTCGCTTCAGAGTCTTTGAGCAGAGGTACGTCTGCTGTATTGAATATTATTGATGAGAAGCACTGACAAATATTTGATTGTAGAGAACAGAGAATCTCTGTCTATCTGAGTTTACTATACAACTTGTCTATTCACTGGCACAAGGCGACGAATCGAATAGTCATCACGATTGTGATGACGGATTGTGTTGTTGTATCTTCACACATATATGAAAGAATGATCACCCATCAGTCTTGAATGTCTTCATGTCTTTCATCGATCATAAATGAACTTTGACGTTTCTTCGCATTGTTGCACTTCCGTGCTTGTCTATGAAATATCAATAAGCTTTTTATGAAGCGACCAGGGAACGCATTTAAACCTTTATATTCAAATCTATGTGAAAGATTATCAACGCCGTCGATCATTTTAGTAGTACTTTTTAGTGTTTTATCGAGTTCTTGAAGAATAAAATTAAAAATAGCTATTAAGCAAGATGCATTGCTCTTTTTTTTACTAAGAGCGAGTAAAACGAAAAAGGTATGATTTATCATACAGAATTACTCATCCATTCTACACTATCGCAATTCGTACTAATTTTATCATGAGAAGGCATGACAACAGATACATGATAGGTGTATGATGTCATGTTTATTAGAAATCGTCATTTAATGCATATGCGCAAGTTCACTTTCCAGCTTTAGGAGAATAAATATCAAAAACAAAAATCTTTAACATGACTCGTATTCTAATTGTCGTCTTACTTATATCCGCTTTAATTGCCATTTTTCCCCGTGTGTAGTCCACCGAGTGGCAAATGCAACCTTCTAGGACTGTCTGCATGCATTGCGGATTGCCAACTATCTGACTTTCCAAGTGGAGTTTGTGTACCATTCTTCACCTTCTTTGGATGGAAAACTTCCCGGTGTATGAAGTAATTAGAACATCCACATTATCTAAAATAACATGAATTTCGTCTTAATCATTTTTCTTGTGTAATATTTAGCAATACTTTTTCATTTATTTATTTTAATAAAATATCTGAATTAGAAAACACTCGGAATTTATCGATGCACAAGAAATTGTAGAAATCTGCAAGCTAAATTAAGTAGTGTTATCATGAAGTACTTCTTGGAAAGAAAAAAGAACAACAAAGATAGATATAATTGATATGTAATTGCGATGTTTACAAATCTTCTGAACTTATTCTTTGTTTAAATTTCTTAATCATATGAATTGGCATATTTCACTTTTCTTGAATAATACCATCGAAGCAAATGGATAAAGATGACAAACAACAAGAACAGAATGGCTTGTATGCTGTTTGTCCTCATACAAGTTCTGCTGCAGTATTTCTCCATTTAATTGGCATGAATCTGATGAACCTTTAGATTCCTCCTTCATCAAAAATTTTTTCATTCTAAGTCGCCTTTCTTTCATTGTTGATTATTTTTAGAAGATATTAACAATTTAGATAATCATAGTAAAACTTTCATAGCTTTTCGATCAAAACAAATCATTTTTTTTAATTATAAATTAAATTTATTTTCTAAATTCATTTATACAAAGAAAGAAAAAAACAAACATTTTCTTAATAAAATCTATAATGAAAAGTTCAATTCAATCATAAGAAGATTTTCATGTTACTCTTCTTCTTTAACTTCATTATTCCAATCAATTTTTGTTGTTTTCATCAATGTTATTAAACCAATAGGTAAATTTTCACTATCAATAAAATCTAATTGATTAAAAGTTGATTGAATTTGTTCACCATAATAAAAGAGTAACCATTCTAAAAGCTATATAGTTGTTATATAAATTTATTCATTCTAAAATAGTTGTTGCATTTATTAATCGTATTTTCATTTCATCAAGAAATGATCGAATTGTTTCTTGATGAATGATAAAATGACCAGATGATTGTAGAGTAAATAAACCCCATTTAACATCTTTTTGAGGTAATATAATATTTGTTGATAATTTATCAATATCATTTGTTATATTTGATGACTGAATTTGTGTAGAACCATATTTTTCTTCATTAAATTTAACTTCAATCATTTGTATATATTCATTCATTAATGCTCAAGCTTGTTCAATTTTAGTTGATTGAGAATTAAAAAACCACATATCATCATGAAGACGATAAATAAATATATCAGTATTTTGATATATATAAAGATCTAGACCGAATAGAAGTAATTCAGCAAATAGATAAGAAAGTGAATGTGAAATTGGTACACCACGTTGACGAATATGTTCATTAGATTTATAATAAATTGGTTGTTTGAGAAAACGATCAAAAAAATCAACCCAAATTTGAGATGTTCCACAAAATTCAAGAAATATTTGAATTATTTCATGTGAAATCGGTGGTCCAAACCATTCAAGATCAGCTGATACAACAGTAAATGGTATATTTGATTGTAAGATTTTATGTAATTGAATTTCTACATTGATTAAATAGAATAATTTTGATTTTAAATCAAATTTATTCATATTTCCATAATTAAATGTATATGAATTATAAGTAAATCCATCCAATATTCATCTTCTTGCATTAGACAACGTTTATATTGAATGGATTTTGATGAACAATTATCTCGAAATTTTTTTTATTTAATACTTTAAAAAGTATTTTTAATTCTCATTTAAAATGATAACTCCATTTTAAGTCAAGATGTTCAAGAAAAATAGCCGTAAGAAAATCTTCTTCATAGAAACATCTATATTTTCCAACTAAATTTCGACGAAAAATTCCACGTACACCTTTAATTGGCTAATTCCAATCAGTTAGATCAGATATTGATAAATTTAATGATGATGCAAATTCATTGATAGTATTTTCATCTAATCGCATTTTTATTAGAAGTCTTTTTCGATATTCATCTAACGAATTATTATTTATAAGATTTTCAATAGCTTGTTGTATATCATTATATGAAACTTTTTCTTTTAATAATAATTTTCCATAGTGTTCTGTTGAATTTTTAAATTTTTCAAAAGTATCTTTAAATTTTAAATCTTTATCAATAAAAGAAAAAAGTTTATTTTAAAGAAAATTACGCCATCGATCTAAATCTAATTGTTCATTAGTTAATAAACTTTTACTAGTTGATTTTATTTCTACTGATATATATATATTCATTTTTCTGTTCTGATAACCATTGAGACATAATTAAACCAAATAAATAATTATATTCAGCACGTTTTTTTACCATCAACAATTATTTTTGTAAATTGTTGATGAAAATTTTCTAATATATTATTCAATGTCGATCTATTGACTTTGGTTATAGTCAATAATGCATCGAAATTTACTTGATAAGTAACTTTTTCAACTTTTGTTATTAGTTATCGATGTGAATTTCATTTTATAATTGATGATAAAGTAATAGGTATAATCACAAATTTTTTTACTGATCCATTACGTTCTTTAAGTTTTTCACGTTGATCTTTTTTTCTTTGTTTTGAATCTTCGTGAAAATATTTCCCCCGTATACTTCAACACATGTTGACAAGTGTGATTAATCGAGAAATTAGATTGAATCTTACAACAAGATAAAAATGAAAAATGACTCATGTCAATCTATTAACCTGTTTGATCTGGTCTGACTCTTTTAGATCAGTAATACTGTTTTGTGGGGTGATTTCATGGTATATTTTTACCGCTCGAATATATTCCAAATAGAAATGTTCAATATTCTATCATTTCTGTTTTAAATTCATATGCTTTTTTTATTAAAAAAGTTATCAATGAACAGAATGCATCAAATTGCATAAATTTGCTTCTATTTGTAAATAGCTTTTTCAAGAATTGTGACAAAATCTCACAGAATTATTCAATCACATTGGATTTCGAAAAATGTGTTCATGATCAAATTATACTTATTTTACATGTAATATAATTATATGAATCAATGCAAGAATGTTGACATTTTATATTACAACAATACTGTCTTTAAAAACGACATATCATCGGAAACTTTCCTTCTAGTCCTTCACTTTGCATCATATTTGTATTGATAATCGTATCCGATGCTGCTGATGCGACGGCAAAGTCTGACTGTTCTTTTTGTTTAGTGGACGTAGACGGTAGTGATACACGACAGAATAAAAGTGCTACAATAACACCTACACCACTGAGTCCAATTCCAACATATAATCCACCTCGATAACCTTCTAGTACAGTTCTTCCTCGTTTTAATAATTGACTTTCAACTGTTCCTGCAATACCCAAACCAAGAGATATTGACCAATTAATAACTGTATTGAGCATACTCGCTGCTACACCTTGTTGATTTATTGGCATTGTGTTACTAACAATAAGTGATGCAGAAGGAAAACTAACATCCATTGCAAATGGAGCTATCAATGTAGATATAAATACTTGTGCCCAATATGTTTGATCAGAAGATGCTGTTGCAATGAGAGTATTACTAAGACAAAAGAAAATCATAGATCCCATGAGAAGAAAATGAGCAGGTAAACGACCAAAAAGACGAGAAACTGAAATTGTTGCTACAAGACCAGAAATAGTAACAGGTGACATCATAGCTGTTGTTAACAATGGTGATGCACCACGAATTACTTGCAAAAATTGAACAATATAATAAACAAATATACCGAAACTTGACCAGCCTAAAGCCATAGATACAAGAACACCTGGAAAACCCTTTACTGACCAAATGGATAATGGCATAATTGGTTCTTTTACTTTCGTTTCAACAATAATAAATAAACCTATTATTAAAATACTGACAATTAATAAAACATAAACATATGTTTTATTCCATCCAATAACTGGTCCTTCATTCCAACAATATATAAAAAGAACAAGACCGAATAGTCCAATAATTGTACCAAGTATATCAGTTTTTCCTGTTGGATGAACAGCTGATGATAATTCTTGTGGAATAATAAAATAAGCTAAAATAGCAAGAAAACTACAAAAAATAGCCAATATCCATTGTACCCAAGGCTAAAATGAGAGTTGAGCAAATATACTTCCAAACAAAGCACCTAGAATAAAGCCAATAGGTGCTGTTGCTCCAAACATTGAAAAAACAAATGATTTTCTCATTCCAGTCGGATATGTTCTAGCAAGTAATGCAATTGCATTAGGTAAAAGTGTAGCTGGACCTATTCCTTGACATGCTCTCATCACATCAAAATAGATATCATTCTTTACATATACAGACATTCCAACTAAAAAACTAAAAATAGAGAATATCATAAATCCAATAATTAGAAGTAATCTATGTCCAAAAATATCACCCAATCGTCCTGTCACTAATATGAAAATACCAACAGTTAAAGAATAGGCAGCTAATGTCCATGGTAACTTGGCAAAATCTTCAATACCAATAGAATGACCAATGATGTGAAGTGGAACGAGTACATTTCCTAATGCCGCTTGAGTAAGTAATTGAGCACAAGAAATAACAGTCACATAGAGTATTTCATGAGCAAAATTACGAAAACAAGATGGACGCTCGTCAAAATACATTTTTATATTGGATTTTGTTTTTTTTCTTAAATATACAGCTGTATTCAAAAAAACTTGCACAAAATTAAATTTTTTGTGTAACGGTTTTCTTATCGTTAGAAAGCAATTACGAAATTCATTTTTCCAGGGATATACGTTCGTCACCTATATTACACGTTGACCATACAGAAGTGTGATTTCTTTTCTTTTCGATACATATATATTCAATTATGACATCGACTAGTCATTTAAAAAATCACCATATCTCAATTTTATGTTATTGAAACAAAGGCATACGATCAGCTCATTTCATTCATCGTAAAAGAAACATACCACTGAGGACTATCTATTACAATATTAATAGATTAAAACAAACAAATTCATTTAAACATCGAGGCGGAAATGGTCGACCAAGTGTGCTTGGTGGACCAGAAAAAAAAGCTATTGGTCAATATATTCGGCGTAATAATGAAATAATCCTTAACGAAATAAAAGAAAATTTATCGAGAACGCACCACAAAACAGTATCTATATAACAATAAACACTTTCGCCAAAATTGGCGTTTACAACACGACAATGACCTCCCCATACACACAAGTCATATTACTAAACAGTTCATCAACAATAATGTACCACAATTATTGGAGCGGTCATCTTATAGAGAATATGTGATCGACGTAAAACGCAAGGTTGAAAAAGAAAACCCAAAAATGTTGATGAACTGGAACTTTTTTAGCTGAAGAATTCAAAAATACTGAAATTAATGCTGTAAAAAATTGTGTGATGTCCATGAAAAAAATATGTTTGTCTCTTATTTCTTCTAAAGATGAACGAATAAAATATTGAAATATGGTGTTCGATAGTATTCGTCGTAGGCTATCAACCAGTATACGAAACTACTTGAAAGCGACATATATATAAGAATACATTTGCATAGCAAGATGTGCAAGTTTTTTTGAATACAGCTGTATAAATGATTTTATTTTCTATTGTATTGTCAACTGTATATAAACATTTCTTTATATAGCCTTCATCTCTATATTGTTTTAGTACATATCTCAATATGCTCTCGTCATTCAGGTAACTGACGTACTTTACTTGTATGACGAAGCTATTTTCTACGTCACAAAATAAATATATGCTTTGTCATTGTCAATAATTAACAGAAAAAATAGCTTCTATTCATTATTATTTATTATTCAAATAAAATATCTACTTAATTGATAAATTTTATTTCGCATTTGATCATTAAGAAAAATTAATCAATTAAAAAGTTTGATTCTATTATTTGAAATATCATTTAATCTTATATATTGACATCTTTTTTTTTTCTATATAGATACAGATTATCATATTTTCATTAGTCAATATTGAAAAAAAATGTCTCATTCAATTTTTCTTGAGTATTATGACAATCATCTTGATCGAACTCATTTGATGATTATATTCATATATCTCTCACACTATCTGTTAAGTTTTATAAGACATAATTTTTCATTTTTATTTTTCTTTCTTTCCTTTTTTTCAGGTGGTCACGTGGAAAAATAATATTGAGTATTGAAAGAAAATTTCTACTTCTGTTCGTTAACTTCTTTATTTTTATTGTTTGATTTTTCTTTTTAAAATAAAAGCAAATAAAATTATGAAATTAATTTTGAATTAACCTAAAATTTCCAATTTTATAAGGCACTATAATCTGATTTTTCTAAATCTTGAAAAGTTTGTGTTTCCTTGATTATATTGATAATTTAACATGAAAAAAAGGATTGTACTAAAAAGGAAATCATCGGATTGTTGCAGATCCAGGAGATTTTTTGATAAGATATGATGAGATCCAACTATCAGATCACTCGTTAAAGAATATGCATATAAGACCAAAAAAAAACACATCTCATGAACAAAAATAAAAATAAAGGGACATATAACTAGCATACAAGGAAATCAGATTTCTCCAAAAAAAAAAGAGAGTGATAGATATGATAGAAAGAAAATTAAAAGAAAATGAAATACTAGATGCCATCCATCTTCTAGCTATTGCAAACGCATCAACCTACAGAATAAATCGTTTTGATCTTTGTGAATATCGAATACTTGAATCATCTACTCGCTATCGAGTTCTGTATTCATTCAACAACGATTATTCTAGTAATAGACACCCATTCAGTTATTTAGTCAGTGTTTTAAGGTATTTTTCCAAATAAGTATAGTTCGGTTTGTAAAAACTGTTCAACCCGTACTCTCTCCGAATATTTAAATCGTTTTGAGCATCAGTCCTTCAATCCTTCCTCTGAGAACGTCCCTGAAACATAGCACAGATTATTCAGTCAGCATTCACTAATAAGCGGACATAAAGAAGAAATCATCCTAATAATTTCAGCGCAATATCTGTTTTAGATACATATAAAAAAATGATTAAGTCCGAACTATTGGCAATTAAGGAACAGTAGGTAGAGTGCGAACAACCATGCAAAAATAGGGAGTATGAACGTAGAGAATAGAACACATCGTAGAGTTGTTGAAGAAGTACTACCAAATCGTATTGACTTGACTAACTCTGGTTGTTGACGAATCTAAAGACGCGTTAGTCCGATAATATTTTCCCATCCTTGGAGTGTAGATGTGAGTCTTCTCTTTATTCATACTCACACTCATACTCTCAAGAGAAGATATATGATATATAAAAAAATATTGGAAAGATCCTTATCCAACTATATCTATATGAGTTTCGAGCACTTAAGGCAGTGTTTTAAATGGCATATTATTCGATGACATTATCTCTTATAACAATAGGAATATAAACATATGAAGCAGGATAATTAAAATCTCAAAATCGATCACTAGATTTTTTTAGAAGTTTTAACGAACTATGAGTTCATTGTATGTAATGGGACGTTATTCTACAAAGCGATATGTAGCTATCTAAACCGCTTCTCTAACAGATATTATGAGTAACTATTCCCGGCCGTTATTTAACTTATATCCCAAATTAAACCACTTAAAATGGACAAAAATATAAACATTCTAAGTGCAGAATGAAAGAAAATCTTGCGTTCTGCATCCAACACGTTGTTTTTTACTTACTAAACGTTGTGTTTGCACTTTCTGTTCATTTTAAATATTTTATTTAGGATATAAGTTAAATAATGGCCGGGAATAGTTACTCATAATATCTGTTAGAGAAGCGGTTTAGATAGCTATATATCGCTTTGTAGAATAACGTCCCATTACATACAATGAACTCATAGTTCGTTAAAACTTCTTAAAAAATTTAGTGATCGATTTTGAGATTTTAATTATCCTGCTTCTTATGTTTATATTCCTATTGTTATAAGAGATAATGTCATCGAATAATATACCATTTGAAACGTTGTCTTAAGTGCTCGAAACTCATATAGATATAGTTGGATAAGGATCATTCTTTGTTTACAAATAAACTAATTTTTGTTGAGGCCCAGAACATATGGGACATCCTTTATGGTCAAAATATCCCGTTGCGGCAAGCCTGTCTTCATGAAAAGTTATGGTGACCAAAAGCCGTGTATTCAAAAAAAAGGTCAATTTCTGCCCCAGAATCACCGGTGTTTTCACCAAGGTTATATTTTTTCGACGTAAAAAGTTCAGATTCGTGTAGAGCTTGAAATTCTCGGTTAGACAAAATATTTTCCACTAAATGTTAATGGATATTTATTTTGTGAGGTGTCCAACAAAGGAAAATGGGATCCACAGAGTGGTTCGCCCTATTTCAGAAATAAAGGAGTTTCATAAGTTTTCATTATGATATTCGTAATCAGCATCTCTGAATCTACAAGCACATCTAGTTTTAACTTATCAAAAATACCCGTAGAGATCCTAGGTACGAAAATCGTTAATGTCGTTTTTCCGAGAATAAAGTCGAAAAATCTCATTAGGAACATTTTGGCCTTATCCGCCCTCCTCTTTTATCGAAAAAAAATTACGTTGTAGCAGACCATTTACATTCTCTGAACGTTCAAAGTATTCTCTAGAAAATAGTAAAAAAAGTTAAATTAAAAGTAAGAACAAACGATTAAAAAAAATCCTATTTTCACTCACTAGGTAACTCCAAAAATTAGGATTTCGACCCTTGTAGCGTCCATAACTTGAGAACTATATATGATAAAAAGTTGATTTTATGTCTGGTAGTGGAGATTAAATAGTGGATCAAAACAAAAAAAATTATTCAAATCGGTCAACGGAAATCAGAGTTATTGCGAATAAATATTGAAAATTCAAACGGTACAATAAGATTGCAAATCGCTCTACGAACTGGTTATGAATTGACCCGCTAATCCATCTAGTAAGAATGTTATAAGCTTAGAAATATGCTTCATAAAAAATAAAAATTAACCATGAGTTTTGGAATAGCGAAGTAAGTATTTAAGCTATAAACTTTGATAATCATCTATGACAACTGCGTTTGTCTCATACAATGAGAAAAAAAAGCAGCTGTGTTTCTGTAACTTTGATTGCCTCATAAGCCTCTTATCTCATTTGATTTTTTTTCTGTTATACTTCGTATACAAAAACAAAATATCGATATAAATGGCTTTTTTTTGCATTTTCTCATTGCATTCTCATCGTAGAATAACATAGAATGGTATCGGCACTTACATTTTTTGTTTTATTATCAATTGGATTTATTCAAGGTGCCCTTACTACGAATAAGTCGTGTAAAGTTCAAATTGACGACTCATCCAATCCATGTGTTGGTTCAGTTTGGGTTTTTCGGCCATGTGATTCAGCAACACTCAAGATACCTGCCACGCGTTTACATCATGCACTGCGGCCAGTATTCGCTGGGCTTATCCAATGAATAATTTTACCATTATTATTGAAACACCATTTACACAACAGCTTCAACCATATTCTGTTGCTATTGATAATGGGCTTATCAAAGGCTCTGATATTCGAGTCTATCGAATATTAGACGGGCGAGAAATTGAAGTAAAATCAACTGGTGATTTTATAGTACAAAATTCGGATTCCAATTATCAAGTCATACTTAAATTACAAGCTCCATCAACGATTGGTTTATATGTTTTGCCTTTCAGTTATAAAACTACCAAACTATAATTGAAAGAAATTTCTTTTCTCTGAAATAAAAAAATAAAGGAAAACAGGTATCTTTTAATAACAATCAGTTTAATTCCTGTAGAATAATTTGAACAATAGTTAATAGTATGAATTATGTATGAAGTGAACATACGACATCTCTACTAGGCAATCGAAGAGCGCTAGTTACTGGTGAACGTGATCTTTATTCATACTTGAACACTGCAGAACTATTTTAATCGTTACAAACAGATTAATATTAAATTTTTTTTAAAGCCCTTCATCACAAAACTATTTTTTAAGGAAAATAAATGTTTCCGAACCTCTACATAATGTATTTATTGACATCAGCTTCAAGAAAAAGTTAGAGGATTTGAATATGATAGATCTTGTAGCAATCAAAAATTCGTAGTCTCATATTATTTTCTGTGTATGAATATCTGAAAACACTTCTCTTTTTGAGTATACATGTCGTTGATGTTATGAACTTGTCGATATGCAATTTTGACTAGTCGGACCATGAAAAGACAGATACATGCATATTGTAGACGTTTCTTAGTATGGGAAGGAGCGGTTGACATCCTATGAAATTCAAAACCTAGCAACATTCAACAAAATCGTGATATATATTCTTTCGTTTTTTTTATCCAAAAATAGCTAGTAAACTTTTCTAAGATTATTCATAACAATGATGAAGACTGATCGTTGAAGCTATGTTAGAAAATGATACTCGGATATAGTATGTATCTCGACTCTGCATGTTTTACAAAAGGCGTTTATATCAATAAGAGAAAAACATGCGTCGCGAAATTCTCTACAAAATGGTATATTTTGATTATCACAAAACATTTTCGTCACGATGTAAGAAACGATAGAATTGTTACGACAAATTGGTGATACTTTCTAAAGCTGGTTCTTCGATCAAACTTAGTTTAATACTGATCGAAGACTAATCGATTACACGAGCCATTTTGCCTCGAAACACAAGGATACAAAAGATTTTTGTCGAAATTGTTAAAAGATCAACCATCTTTAGGTCTAATTACCTTGTGCCTCAACGAACTATTACTAAGCATCTATACCAGAGAAGAGTTTCGTGTAGCATTGTTATTTTATGAATAATATGCGTTGGTAGCTGCCCTCACAAGGAATATGAAACAACAAAAACTAAATATAGATTATTGACCTATGAATAGTTTCGACAAAAATCTTTTGTATCCTTGTGTTTCGAGGCAAAATGGCTCATTTAATCGATTGATCTTCGATCAGTATTAAACTAAGTTTGATTGAAGAGCCGACTTTAGAAAGTATCACCAACTTGTCGTAACAATTTTATCGCTTCTTACGTCGTGACGAAAATCTTTTGTGATAATCAAAATATATCATTTTGTAGAGAATTTCGTGGCGCATCTTTTGGTTAAAAAACCTTTAGGAAATCCTATAAGATTAGATCTAGCAAAATGAGAAATAAAATTGGTTCTTTTTCTCCGAACCACCCGATAGATCATTCAAGAAGCCTCCTCAAAACATTTTTTAGAAAGAAAAAAATCTCTTAACTTTACTATTACTCCTAACATTATCAAAAATGTATAGAATTTATTTTTTAAACTATTACAAGTTACAACATACCTTCAGTATCAAGAAGAGTGGAATGATACACACATAATTGCAGTACGTTTTAGCTTGGTCTTATACTATTTTTTGATTTTGGTAGAGAAAAACCGCCTAAGAACTATGAAATTTATACCTTTTAGTCTATTTTTCTTGCAGAGTGCACAATAGAATTTCATAATAAGTATACTAGTGGATAGAGGACGTCTTCCTCGACAATCCTACATATGTCCCGTTCTTGGGTCAAAAGTTACTGTGAAACTTGTCATCGCCTTTAGACATGGATTTTTTTATTCAATCAAATTCGAAAAAAAACATATTTTCAAAGTTTTGTCCATTTTGAAAAGAAAAGGTGCATATATAAAATCAGTTGTTCTTTATAAATTGTAGAGCCTTTCACGTTACATCTTGTAATGTATTTTGTTCTTGTAATACAATGTATTAAAATGGAAAAGCAATGTCTTTCAAAAACTGAAATACTTCCGTAAATCTCGAAAAACATGGTAGTAGGATCTCAATCTCCTTTGGTAAGTTTATTAAAACCTAGCCTTTTTAGAAAAAAAGGCATATATATTCTAAAAGAGGAGACTTCAGCGCATCTTTCTGTGATAAAATCGCCACTTCGACTTTTAGTCTCACCGAGTCCTGCTTGTAGGCAAAATATGGACTGAAACGGTCTCCGACAGAAATTTCTATTAAACTTGTGTCTAATATTTTGCTCTGAAATCAACTTCTTTACCTCAGAAGAGAAATTCAAGGTAAGAAATAGTAGATTCAATGTTCGTTTACAATGACATCGCACATATTTCCCTCGCTCAATAGTTTGTCTATTGTTCTTTTTTAATTCTCAAGGTATTAGAATTGCTTAGAAATCACCAATGATTCTTATCTAATTCCAATAGATCTGAGTATTAGTAAAATATGCTATAACCCACTCTAACCGCCGTTAAACTCGAATTTACTATCAATCGATAGAGCTTAGAATTCTTCACTCATAGCATGCCACTACAAGCCATTCTTTTGATAAAAATATCAAATATCATTTTGAACGGTCTATTCCAAGCTCATTCCAATCCGCTCAAACCGACTTCAACTCACTTTGATCCATTCTCACTTACAATTGTGTTATTAATCAATCAGAATAGACATATTCGGATCAGATTAAAGCTCTCATCACTAAACTAACAAATTCCAATTGAGGGCACTGCAAAAAAGAAGAGCAGAATAATAAACCTTCACCCTATATTCAATTTTTCATAAATCTTTGAAGTGTTTATTATTCTACTACGTAATGTAGATCTTTCTTCAATTTCTCGAATGGCAATTAACATAGAAGTGAATGTTTTTCTTTTCTATTGTTGTTATTAAAGTTTGCCTTGTAAGAGATACTCGAAATGTAAGAAGAGCATGATTCGTAGTTTTGTTATCATTAAGTGCAAATGCATCCTCTATAAACACTATTAAATGTAATTGGTATAAAATAATAAAAAGAAGAAGAAGAAGATATGTATCTACCTTAGACGACATCGAACAAAGGAAAAAAAAGAACATAAGATCAAGATAGATTCGAATAAAACAAAGTATATAAGCAACTCATATAACCGATAAGAAAAGAGAAAGAACACGTATATTATTCTTATCTTTTTGAATATATTGTCCTATCACTCAAGTTTCTTTTTTTTCAATCTAAACAAACCAATAATGTCTTCTGCATCTGTTACAACTATAACTCAAATAACAGTTGAAGATATTCGTTTTCCAACCTCTAAAGAACTCCATGGCAGTGATGCTATGTCGCCTAATCCGTAAATTTGTATTTATGAAAGCATCCAACTTTTTTTTTTTAAATCTTAATCTTTGTAGAGATTTTTCATCAGCTTATGTAATTCTTCATACTGATAATCCATTACTTGAAGGTCATGGCCATTCATTTACACTTGGTCGTGGTACAGAAATAATTTGTACTGCTATAAAAGCTCATGCATATTTACTTATTGGTCATACACTCGAAGAATTTATTTCAAATCCTGGTGCTTTTTGGCGTCATTTAACAAGTGATTCTCAACTTCGTTGGATTGGACCAGAAAAAGGTGCAATACATTTAGCTTTAGCTGCTATTGTTAATGCTCTTTGGGATTTATATGCTAAACGTGAAGGAAAACCTTTATGGAGACTTATTTCAGATTTTACACCTGAACAATTTCTAAAATGTATTGATTTTCGTTACATATCAGATGTTATAAAACCTGATGAAGCATTAAATATGTTAAAAGAACTTGAATCAACAAAATCTAAACGTATACGACAACTTGAAGAACAAGGTTATCCAGCTTATATAATGTCAGCTGGTTGGCTTGGTTATTCTGATGAAAAAGTTCGACGTTTATGTCGAGAAGCTATTAAGGCCCCCCCCCCCCCCTCAAAAAAGTCAATTTTCGTGAGAACTGTCAAAATTGAGATAAATACATAGAAAAATAGCCCGTCGTCTGCTCTTTCAGAATTGATAAAAATTTTTCCTGAAACCTCCATTTTTTCTAGAAATTTTTCAGAATTACAGAGAACCAGTTTTTGAAAAACCAGCGGTTTTTCGAAATTTGTAAAAATCTTTTTCGTTTTTTCTCGATTTATGATTTTTTGATTTTGGTACAAGGATTTCTCAGTCCAGGCTCAGTAAATATATTTAAATTTTTTTTTTTGTTTGAAAGAGCGCGTCGAGATGCAGATCACTACAGAGTCCTTTTTTTAATTAAGCTTTGTTTTTTATTGGGTGTACGCACATAGACACTCATTTTTGGCGCTTTTTTTGGGTCATTGAACTTCTGATCCCCTTTTTCCGCTAAAAAAGTAAGAATTTAAAAAAAAGGAGTCTGTAGTGACCTGCATCTCGACGCGCTCTTTCCAACAAAAAAAAATTTAAATATATTTACCCAGCCTGGACTGAGAAATCCTTGTACCAAAATGAGCTATTTTTGACCCTTGTTTGGTTTATATCTCTGTTAAATCCCAGTGAATCGAGCTGAAATTTTTACCACAACCTCCCCACTTCAGCCCCAACATATGCTCAAAATTTCAGCCCATTTGAACGTTTCTGGGCTGAGATCGATTTTTGAGGGGGGGGGGGGCCTTAATGTAGGTTTTACACATATAAAAATAAAAGTTGGTCGAGATTTACAAGATGATATTCGACGACTTAAAATAGTTCGTGAAGAAATTGGATATGATCGACGTCTTATGATTGATGCTAATCAAGTATGGGATGTTGATCAAGCTATTCAATGGGTAAAACAATTAGCAGAATTTCGTCCATATTGGATTGAAGAACCAACATCACCAGACGATATTCTTGGTCATGCTCGTATTTCTCAAGCACTTCGACCATATAATATTGGAGTTGCTACAGGTGAACATGGAATGAATCGAATATTATTTAAACAAATGTTACAAACAAATGCTTTACAATTTTGTCAAATAGATGCTTGTCGTTTAGGTGGAGTTAATGAAATTTTAGCTGTACTTTTATTAGCAGCAAAATTTCATGTACCTATTTGTCCACATGGTGGTGGTGCTGGTTTAAGTGAACTTGTACAACATTTATCTATGATTGATTTTATTGTTGTTAGTGGAACATGGGAAAATGGTATTACAGAATATTCTGATCATTTACATGAACATTTTGAAGATCCTTGTATTATTAAAAATGGACGATATGTTGCACCAAACAAACCAGGTTATAGTACTCAAATAAAAGAAAATAGTCGACAACAATATTCCTTTCCCAATGGACCTATGTGGAAAATACATTCATAACATTTATTTATTTTTTTTTCTTCAAGTTGATTTTTTAATTAGTTCAATTTAGTCTATTAATGTTTATTGATGATTTAATTATTTAACTACATAATAGAAGATACTTAGGTCTGACCAAAAGTTCTGAGAACATTAAATAGTAATAGA